GTACAACCCGTAAACTGGCAAAATATTTGAGAACAGTGGTGTTCTGACCGATGGTGTATCACTTTCAAAATCTCTCTGATCACATTCAAAATTTGTGTTACAGACAACGGGATACGTGGGTGATAGCCCAATGTTAACGCCACAAATGAACCAGTCTACCGACTCGTACATACTATACACGTACCCCATTTAGTACATCATGGTTTTCTTGACTGAAATTCTGTCAATACTAACAACAAAGGTAGAGTTTGTTTAGCACTTATTTCACTCGTAACTGTCACCTGGAAGGTAATCGGGTAGAGCTTCCATGTGAGCTTCTATGTGTCGATTAAGACAAGCCTATCTACATATTATTTCGAGTCATGTGTAATAAATTATTTTCAAATCCAACAAAATTGTGCGGATTTTGTACCTTCCGTTTTGATTTCCAAATGAAAAAAAAGAATGAACGGAAAACTTCTTATTAGAACCATGTGTGATTGTATTACTTTGGCTATGGGCAAAGAGAAGCAGGAGCATTACCTCACTTCTTCTCACTTCCACCTTTCATCAACGAGTGATACAGGCCGAGCATCAATGTTCGTTTAGAACAGTCACACTCAAACCGTTACCTAGACTTTAGGTCAGCCCACTGTATTTGAAGTAGGCTTTCTAGTGTATCCAATGCGGTTTTAAAGAACAGCGAAATACACTCATTTGCAAACAAATTTGGTTTTGCCGGCGACTCACCCGGAACCCAGCTGAATCTCTCGGTTTTGATGTTTTCAAACCAAATTTATTCGCAAATGAGTGCAATTCGCTGATTTCGTGCGATTTGGTTTCAAGTAGAACTTAAGGTTGACGGAAACTCGGGGACTGCGCCTACCTAATGAGCCCCAAGAGGCGCGAAACCGGTCGTGGGCTGTCGAGGAGCTTTCAGCAACCTTATGAGTAGTGCATTGCAAAAAAGGTGTTGAAATTCACTACTCGTTGCACAAAACCATTGTTAACATACCTGACGCAACAAACTAGGTATTTGGGCATTCTCATCTTTCTTCTATTTTCCAATTATGCTCAACCCAGTGCCCAAGCACCTAATTCCTTGAAGCAGCCAAATAGCTTATTTGTAGTCGTTTGCTCAAGTTACCTGAGCTTTCTCCGAAATATCCTTGCCCATCGCTTCTATCGTGTATCGTCAGGCCATGCAAAAGTTCCAAGTGAATCACCAGGTCACAAAGCGATACCCTTCCATATACTGGCTGAGGGCATATCATGTTGCTTCCATGCTCAATTGTTGGCCGATATTCTTAGCCTGTTTCTCATCTTCTGAGAACAACGGGAGAAGAAAAAATCAACGTAATAATCGTTTGAGGAATATCGTCAAAAAGGTTGAACCAGAAATGAACTGAACCATACATTACTTTCTACGATTGCAACCAATCAACTCAACTCAGTCAATCCGTTCTATTGTGGTGTTCACAGCTTCAACAATCCATTTTTCCTATAGTTTATTTCTGTGAGTTCCGATACAGCACTGAAGATGACTGTGTTCTGCCGCTGTTGTAGGCGAAGCAGCAGATATCAGAAGTAGAAGCGAGAGAACGTGTGACATGTGACTGAGGCATGAGCTTATTTCTGTCAATGCTTCGCGGGGTTTCCCTGAGGTCTCGATTTCACCACTATGGACGCTGTGTAACATACAGCAAATACGGAGTACATCGAGTGCCAAGTGCTACCTAATAAACACATTGGGAATTGTAAGCGTAACGTAACAACAGGATTTATGCTGAGAGTAGAGGAAGATCTCATTAGCTCAAATCCGTTTTCCCCAAGTACTCCACCTCTCTTTCAGCTCAGACTTTCCAACTTTGCAAGATAGCTTACTGACCAGTTGGAATCCTTGGTTACAATACAACCGATTTGAGGATGGAAATTTCAGCTAGCTGAAACTTAGTCCCGTTTAAGAAACCTATTAAAAACTAATTCTTTATAATGGATACACAACACTCAGGCGTGAGTTTGACTGAGTTCCTAATAATATGAACTTCAGGGTTCTATCGTCTCAAGGATAGCAGTCATCAGTATAAACGGTTGTCGCTGTGTGACCCGAAGCATTGGCAAAGATCTACGAGCTTGTCACTGCTGATCAGCGGTAACGCCTTTGAGATGCACTGAATGCATCTGTGCATCGTCGACTTGTTATTTAGGTTATCAAGGAGTCTTAAGGGTGATGACATCTGTCATAGCTATTTCTTTACCTCTACATATTGTCAAATGCGAAGTCATGTTACTTGGAAATGTCAGTGGACAGTACTGCACCAAAGTGGATTGCATCGAAAGAAAGAAAGAACGTTAAGTAAGAAGGAAGCAGGAAGTGTGACTAGATCGACCGATTCGAACCCATAAATTGGTTCAGAAAGTCCCTTGTGACAATGTTGAGCGTGACGGCTTTGTGCCATGCAGTAACGACGCTGAATGTGCCATTGGTAGTTTGTCTTTCACCCCACTATACTTATTCGGCTAGTGCGTTTCTTTTTTCTTTGCTCCGCACCGACTCTCTTTGTTTGACGTAATGGATTCAAATTATATGGCGGAAACCTAAAATGGCCCTATGAGTCAGTTTTTCTAAGTTCCACCTCTTTAATTTGTCTTGCTTTTTCCACCTGTAGGCACTGTACGTGAGAGTTGCACGGCCACATTGGCAACTCGAATCTGGTGGTGTAGTCTCCTCGCCTACCGTGTACAGTGCTTAAATCGAGATTACCTCGAAATTATTGCGTTCAAAAAATCTTCGTGCAATTAAGTAGAATGGTGGTAAAAACACCCAGTAAGAGAGGGGAAAGAAAAATAACTTAACCAGATATATAAGTTCTGATTTTTAGAACTGTAGAAACATTATGCATGGCCCGACAACACATTCCAGTGGCTTCCGTTGATAACTGTTTATGCAAGTGTTCTACTTTTTGAATTCGGTAGAATAATCGAATTCTGCATACTCTTGCCGATATCAGCAATGTTTATTTTTAGCATCTGGAAACCCAAAAACAGAATGACAGCTTTTTTAACGTGGAAGACTCATGACTAGCGTTTTAATATCTGTGGCAAAAGCTTCCTCGTAACTTGCTAAACGCGAATTCTTATCACCGGGAGTTTCATATGTAGGCTTCTGACCAGCCTATTGGTAATTTTTTGAAAGGCGAAAGTCTCGTATGGTGACGAAACGTTTGCAAGCCAATTGCCAAGCTTGGCGAACAGATCAACAGCCACCTGATCAACAACCAACGACCAGCCTATTTCTTGAGCAAAAACACACATTCAGTACCGACTACCGCCACTGGAAAACGCTTCGATACTAAATCATATGCGTGGCGTTGCACGTATTTCAGGGCTATATTGCTTAAAGTTAACAGTACACATAGAAGACAAAGTACTACGCTGATGTGTATTACTTTCCTCTTGGTCAAATTTTATCCCCAAACAGTCTTCGTTTAGCCGTAATAGTCAGATGACCAAGTCTTTTGATGTGCCTTACTAAACTGCCACTGTCCAACGCATCCAGAGTAATTAGATGACCAGGGCATCTACAAGGCATTATAATTGAATCATGCCCTAATCGTTGTATGTATGAAATTCGGCGTCTCTGTGTAACAGGACGCCGTAATACACCTAATTCATCGTCAGGAACGATATCACAAACGAAAATTTGAGCGATGAACAACTCTACACCCCTTGAACTCGACCAACTATCCAACAGCGGAGTATATACTCGCAGCTAAGCAACGTCGACGGAAGGAAAGACATTTTCTCAGTGTCACTCTGAAGAAATATAAGCATTAAACAGCTACCTTGTAAGCGTGTCGCTGCGGCAGCATACTTTGATTCAAAATACCGGCGTGGATCTTAAATTAGGAAATAATCTTGCATAGCCAATATCACGCCTACAGGCTGCTCTACAATTTGATTTGTTAGTTTAGCTACTTAAATACCACGAGTAGCTCATGATAATTCAATGTGTAACTTGCCACTTCTCGCAACTGCTGTCGAGGAATGGCTGCTTTCGCAACGTCATTCAGTATAGCTTAGATGTAGTTCGTGAGTTTTATTGAACATGACGGATTAGCTGACTGATTACGGGACGACAAAAACGCAGCACAGGCACTTTCGTACCACGACGGCTACGCTAGTCGTACAAGTTCACACAGCTTCAGACGCAGAGGAAACAGACACTAAAGGTCAACGTATTTTATTCTCTAAAGTCGTGCGCCTATTCACAAGACAGGAACTCCAACAATCCCAACTCCAACAACAAGACAAAATAGTATTCCCAGGGGGGACACGAAGTGCGGTTTCCTCGAAGAAGGGCCGACCGTGATGTTGAAAAATAACAAAGGTTGGCAATTAAAAGAAGTGATGATAGCTAAGTTTCGATGGTGGCCGTCAATTTGTCCAATAATTTGAACGATTTTGTTGAATGTTCCACCGCTGATCGAGAGGACACCACCAGTGCTTTGTGGATGCAAGTACACTGTGGGTGGTGGTACTCAGTTGTTGCACGTGCGTAGACTGGAGCAAGGTCAAGTCAACAAGATCGGTCTTGACTGGCTATCAGTCGTTTGCAACCAAGCTTCCCAGTGCGACAAACAAATCAGCTGATGATGACGCAAAAGTGCGAAAACACAAATCACCAGAAAAACAGACAGCCTGTTGAGCTGCGACAGCAAATAGGGGGAATTTCAAATAAAAGGTGAACCATGACACATGTTTTCTAAAGATTTCGACGAAATGTTGATAATTATGGGCATTCTTTGGATTTCCTAAAGATACCAACAACTATCGCAGTGCGCTGCACAGTTATCTTTGGGTGCTTGGTAGTTCCTAAGCAGTTTTCGGTAGGGTCTGAGTACTAGTCTTTCAGACCATCAGGGCCTTTACCGGTTCCAGACTGTTCACTGATTGCTCGGTCCCTAAACAGCTGATGAGAATTCTCATCATCACCAGTCAAATGCATAGTAATCGTTCAGCTCCAACACTCTTTTGGTGCCCAGCTGCCATGCCACTTCAAGGAGACTAGAGAGTGTCAGAATGCCCAAGCCTAGACAGGAGCAGTCGAGAGGCAGAGGTCTGGTTCGAACCACGGACCTTCCGGTCAGTAAATTCGCGCTATAACCACGAGCTATCTCAGCTCAGCACATAGTAATGATTATGAGCTAAACATAGTGTTGTCTACGTAAGGTAACAGTTTCTCATGAACAGCAATCTGTAGTGCAACCAGTGCTCTTTATCAACCTTTTCTGGTAGGATTCAAGGTAGTTGGTAGGGTCCGCGAGCTACAGTAGAAGCTCTGTTTTTTCACACCCAAAACCTTTTGAGGTGTGGGTGGCGTCACTCACACCATTCACCTTTATCAAAACTGTCTATCATTATTTGAGAACCTTAAATAAAATGTGAAATCTGTGTTTTCCAGCATGCAAACACATGCTCTGCCAAAATTCCAGTCACATCTGTACGAACTGGTCTGCTGGTACATCCCATTTTGTATTATGACTCGACTACAGCACACTAGGAATTTACGCTCTGAACCGAATCTAACAGTTATTCTAACACTATAATGATAGCATTCCCAGTTTTTTTTCGGTGGCATCGCACTACAAGATCCATAGCGCTCTGGTGCGCTGCAAGTTATGGCTTTGGTAACCAGCAAATTTCACCCTGTATTGCAGATTACATTTTACAGTCATAAAATCGTCATAAAATGACGATCTAGCTTTAGTCGCCAGGAGGACACTGACTATGCGAACTACAGTTAATAGGGATTTGGCTTCAAAAACAACCTTCGAACGTTTCGTCAATAAGCTGATGTTTCACTCACATCCATCTGCCACCATCCACTTACTGTTTACAGTTCTGGGAAGTAATTTCCGACGAACACGGAATCGATCCTAGTGGGACTTACCACGGTGACAGTAAACTGCAATTAGAACGTATCAGTGTGTACTACAACGAGGCATCCGGTGGAAAGTATGTCCCACGAGCAATTCTGGTGGACTTGGAACCTGGGACAATGGATAGCATCCGGGGCAGTACCTATGGCCAACTGTTTCGTCCAGACAACCTGATACACGGACAAAATGGAGCGGGTAATAACTGGGCCAAAGGACACTACACAGAAGGCGCAGAACTGGTTGATTCTGTTATGGATGTCATCCGAAAAGAATCGGAAGGATGTGACAGCTTACAAGGGTTTCAGCTTACGCACTCTCTTGGCGGTGGCACTGGTTCTGGAATGGGAACTCTGTTGATTTCAAAGATGAAAGAAGAGTATCCGGATCGCATAATGAATACGTACTCTGTTTCACCCTCACCAAAGGTATGTATCCGAAAAGGTACAATTTAAACCCCCAATGAATTCCATTGCTTATGAGTAAGAGAGCAAGGTGAACTTAGATCTTAACCGTAATCACATAGATGCTGTCCGTCGTGGCTGTTCTTAGACATTGTGTCCGTGATGTACCTTGGTTTCCACATCACCGGGAATTGCCACCAACAAGTGCATATTTTCTAGCAGAAATCGATACAATCTGTAATTTACCGCAATTGACTTTCACGAGTGACGATGACTAAGTGAAAAAACCCTAGTAACACCGGCCCTTGCTAACGAGGTGATAGGTATAAGTTGGTCTGTTTTAACCAAGATTTGTTCACTTACATAAATGATGCTCATTGAAAGTCCACTGTCTGTTTTGTTCTTTTTGGGCTTATCTGCTAATCATTGCCTGTCCATGTGTTGTACTTGTGACTCACTCGCCGGCCCAGATGAAGTGAATGGAAGACTCAGCCAAGATTCCGACGCATTCAGATGAATCATCAGTAGAATACACGTGTAGTTGGGTATCCAGTAGGATCAGTATTCAAGGACAACGTCTGACTTATAAGTCGCAAAGGGAACGACACCGGCAACGGGTTTTTCGGTGGGCAGGTGTGTCGCTTCTGAGGGGGAAATTACATATTATTATCTTAGTATCGTTCAGCTGTAACACCCTTTCGGTGCCTATCAGCCATGCAACCCGAAGGAAACACGAGGGCTGAGGTACTGCCAGGTTGCCCAAACCTAGACAGAGGAAGTGGATAGGCAGAGGTCGGGTTCGAACCAGGGCCTTCAGGCCAATAAATTCACGCTCTAACCACTTGAGCCATCTAGGCGCAGTTGAACATGTTGAACATGGACCCAAATGAACACATTACACGTCAATTTGAATGCACAGTTTAATCAAGAGTTTCAGACGAAGCATACTCATATTCTTTGTCCATACCAGATGAATGCACAACTTGGTAATAAACCCTGTTATGGTCGGTGTTGTTCGTAGCTGCACGTGTCTTTTCGTGATAGTACGCCATCATTTTGTTCATAGGTTCCCGGGATAAATTCCTAGGGACTCAGGCCAACGAGAAGACAAACAGCGTTTGATGCCATCGTGTGACTGATGCCGGACAATACTATTAACCAACTGACTACCATTTGCATAAGAGTTTGGCACACGGAATGCACTCAGCTGAATCTAATGCAAGAAAAAAGTTCTTTGAAGTATTTCTCTGTCCCAATTATCCAACTGATCACCTATTTTCCAGATGAATCGATGAGACACAAGTGCATCGCTCTGATGACGAAACATAGAAAGCGCTTAACTTTGTTGTAAAATGCATCGGACTGAATAGAGCAAATTATTCAATAGAGTACATGATCTAGAACTTGAAAAATCAACAAGCTACTACTAAAAACCAACCGCATGGGTGAAATGGGCCCGGATTTGGAAGCCTGTGAGTAATTATCCTATCGATTGGCGGAAACCACCAGAAAATAGGCAAGCAGGCGAAGACACAAACAAAATCTTACTGGCTAAAATGTAGTCAAATTTTCAGATTCCACAGATTGTAGGGAGAAATTCACACCCACTCTTGACTTCCATGTAGTTTCAGTTGGTGAGCGACAATCATTTCCAATCTCGACGTTTAACGCACTGTAAAATCTCGTCATAAACACGTAGATCCAGCGCGCATTACTTTACATCTTCATTCACGGTTCATCACTGTTTTACACAGTACCAACATCTATTGGGCGAATCTTTTTTTACAAAAACCAATGTCTCTAGCAATCTTCTTGATCGGCCTATCAGCATACAAAGCTGGGTATTGTGCCCTGGATAACCCAATAGGTCTTGACTGAGCAAAAGCAAGGACTCCCAGAGTGTTTAAAAGGAAGCAAAAATCCGACTAGGTGCAAACAGCCTGAGAAACGTACGACAAAACCGACTCATTTGGCATGGAAATAGAGTGAGCGCCCTCGGTTTCATGGCATTCACCTCATTTGACATTCGGTTGGCTCAGCTTATACTGCCTCCCTACACCTCTCCTCTTAGTGGAATGCAATCCATTTTTAAGTGACCTCCTTTAATTTACCTGATGTCACTAATCACCAACTGCATGTCCAACAGAAGTAAATTTCAACATACATAGATTACATACAGACTTTCACTAACACTCAGAACGGACCACTTGTGGTAACAGTAACAGACGGTTCTGACGTTCTATGGTAGAGGCGTTATCCCTTAGAACCATCAAGGAATCTGCTTCATTTTTGAGGGTGCAAAACTCAGATTCCAATCTTGGGGTCGCACGACTCAAAGCAAACCGTTCGGTTGTACTCAAACAACTAAACATTTATGGTGGGAAGCAGTATTCCAGGTTCTCCGAAGTTCTCAGGTCCAGCAGACACTGGGTTGAAAGATTCCCACGTACGGTATCAGTTTTCTTCCGGAAACTTCAGACAAAACAAGTTTTTCAAAGAAAAACATCCGCCACATTGTGTCAATCCAGTTTTGGCAAGTTTTCCTTCTCTCTCTTCTACAAGAGTTCACATAATTTTCAGCGAGCAATGTGAAAAGGTTCAACAACGCTAACTGAGGGAAGCTACTCAGTTGATAAACCTGACCGTCAAATCATATGATAAATATACCAAAGGTTTGTTTTAAATAAATGCAAAAATTCTGAATCTTTTTGAGACGGATTTGTAAAATTAACCCTACCATAAGACTATTTTCAACGTTATATCTGAATTGCTGCTATTCGAACTCCATGATGTTTGCTCACTGTTACATTATCTGCCTTTGGACTGCAGGTATCGGACACCGTTGTCGAACCCTATAATGCCACGCTATCGGTACATCAACTTGTGGAAAACACCGATGAAACCTACTGCATTGATAACGAAGCGCTCTACGAAATTTGCTTTCGCACTCTAAAGCTTACCAACCCAGGTTACCCTGACTTAAATCATTTGGTCAGTGCGACTATGTCCGGTGTGACAACATGCCTTCGTTTCCCGGGACAGCTGAATGCCGATTTGCGAAAACTGGCTGTGAACATGGTTCCCTTCCCACGTTTGCACTTCTTCATGCCTGGATTTGCTCCACTCACAAGCCGCGGAAGTCAACAATTCCAAGCTGCGACAGTATCCGAACTGGCACAACAAATATTCGACGCAAAGAATATGATGGCTGCATGTGACCCGCGACATGGACGCTACCTGACCGTAGCTGCCATCTTTCGTGGTCAAATGTCTATGAAGGAGGTGGAAGATCAAATGATGACGATGCAAAACAAGAATTCCAGCTTGTTCGTTGAATGGATTCCAAATAACGTGAAGACAGCTGTGTGTGACATTCCACCACGTGGATTGAAGATGTCAGCCACTTTTATCGGGAACACAACTGCTATTCAGGAGTTGTTCAAACGTGTTGCCGATCAATTTACTGTCATGTTTCGTCGTAAGGCCTTCTTACATTGGTACACAGGAGAGGGAATGGATGAAATGGAATTTACGGAAGCTGAATCCAACATGAATGACTTAATTTCCGAGTATCAACAGTACGAGCAGGCCACAGTGGATGACGAGGCAGAGTTTGGAAATGAGTAGACGGAAGTCACAGTTGGCCGACGATCTATTATCACCGAATTTGTACACTCACATTAGCTTTGTTTTTTATCTTTTCTCGACACGTCTCTAATACGTTAGCTTCGAGTTGTGCTTGCAGTTATCCATGCCTTCATGTCTGTGTGGCTAATACGCCCGGTCAGTTACGTACAAAAACCAATTTTTTCTGCTATTTTCCATACAAGTCGTCTGCAAAACAAATTCGTCTGCTTCCTTTGGGGCGGTTGTTCCAAGTGGACACTGTGTATTCAGAAATGACTTCTGATATAAGGAAAACATAACAGCGATGTTTACCGAACACCTCTAGTGTTGAGGAAAGTTCAGGAAACGAGTACTCTAAAGATGAGGTCATCGAACAAAACAGATTTATCCAGAGGATAGAGTATGAGCATCAAAGTGAAATATGGGCGTGTTGTAGACGTATCATAGTAACAGGAAAATGATATGGCTAAGATAAACGCCCAGCAAATCCCAAGACACAGTGGCAAATTTAGCGGATCCCTAAATTCCAATGTAAGTCATTGTACCCTAGGAATTGCAGTTGAATCTGCCTTAGTACATATGAAGAAGACACTCTTCAATTGTCGGAAATGCAGGAAGACTCACCGAGTTAAGATGTTCTTAGATGTATAGGACCGGATTATAAGTTGAACAAATGAGCTCTCGACGGCTAATCGTTTATGACCATTTCGGTTCTGTATTAAAACCAAGTTGTTGTTGCCTTCAGTTCACTACATAAGATAATCTAATTAGATTCGGCTTCCAAAAGCAAGATGATTCCAGGTAGAAAAGAGTAATAAGCCAGGTTTTAACAAGCCTTGTCTTCTGTTTGACAAGCAAGGCATCGAAACTTACTAAGGGTCACAGAAGTTTAGCCGTACGTTATGGAATTTTTCAATATATAACTCGATATAAACCTGAAGGTGACTCGATTTTGAGGTGAATTCAAACTCTGGCATGAGAACTGAAGAGTGGAAGTCCTCTCAGTATATCATCATTATTGACAGCAATACATTAGTAGCACCAACTGGTGCTTAACTGCCATACATCTACTAGGGAAGAAACATTCAGTAAAGGATGGAAAGAAAAGAGAAGAGAAGGGAATTCTTACGAAGTTCTGTGTTCAAAAGAAAAGCTATCAGGAATAAGGGCCCACAGCTTTGGACAATACTGACATGAACCTATCCGAACGCCATCTCGAAGTAAGGCGCCATCAGGGGAGCCAACCCGACGTCCTTTGCGGACTTCTGCTGACATAAGTCCAGGGCACAACGACAAGCCAACTTTAGCTAAGCAATCAAAACATGCATACCACTGGGATTGGTTATGCGCCATATTCTGAGGATTTTCCGATCACCTACAAGCCCCAGCCACGAAGGCCCGAAAATCCGTAGCACTCAGTTTGTCTGTGGCCGTTTTCACTTCGCGTTGACATGTCGTGACCTGTTCCCTTGAAACCTTAAGCAAACATTCGTCGAGAGTTGAAGACAAGAGTTTCTTCGGTGGACGTTGGTTGGGCACACGCAATGCATGCCGGAACTACCTTATCCTGATAGGTTTAATCTGCTGCTCCAAAGAATTGGATTCATAACTAAGTAAAAGATTACACGCCACATCGCTGCAAACTCACTGCAGCCAGCTTAACCTTTCTATGTTGCGGAGGCATCGGTGATCAGGCAGTTTAAGATGCCTAGGGTCCTCTGTTCAGGGAGGCCTATTCTCGCGACCATAGTGTAAGATGGCCGTTACAGTTGCCCGTATACCTTACCCTTTAGCTTCGGCGAAATTCGATCCCTAGGCTATAAAAGTCGCTTCACGCGCCTTGAGTATCCGTGCCTTAATTTCGTCTACTACGTTGCAGTCATACCTTCTGAAGCTAGCATGATAGGTAAACCGACCAACAAACTCAAGCTCTCCATTCTGATGTTTCAGAGTAGTACAAGGAAACTGGAAAATGTCAATGAAGGACTTCGCACATGCAGGCACAATACGTGTACTGGAACATAGGATCACCCCCGATATTCTGTCTGAGGTACGGGGTGCGGACAAATAATGATCGAACAACAAAACTATGCTATCCACATAGTACAAATCCATTGGCCTCTCTCCAGAGGTGATTCACGGCTCTGGATGTGCTCTCGCTGATTACTTTGATGACAAAAGTGGACAAAAATGAGATATGGAGAAATCCTAACGAAATCCACCAGTTGTCAAGGTGCTCCTGGACATTTCACTGTGCACTCTAACCCAACCCTGAATAAAGATCACGAAGAATACTTAAAAAAACACTCAAGGGTATTTCCACTTGGACAAGAATATTCGAAAAGATAATCTATTTGCCGAGTCGAAGACTTCCTTAAAGTCTGCTAAATCTGCGAGTGTTTGTCGGCGGTACGCGTGGCACGGCTCAGGCACATGACGTAATGCAAAGATAGGAACAGGTTGAAATCCTGTTTGGTGCTTTCGAAAGCGCGTCTCCGAGCAAAAGCGTTGTAAAATAAGAGAAGCCGGTAACTATCGTGTGATTGGTATGGGAATTATAATCCTATGGTAGCAATAGCCGGTTCGCGCACCATTTTTGAACACGAGGACGACTAACCTCTCAGGATATTTTAACTTGATATCTGGTCGCCCTCAGATTCCTGAATGCGAGCTTAAGACCCCTGTTAAATTAATTGTTGTCGAAGATGCCAGAACGCCTTGACACTAGGAGGTAATATTTCGGGGCAAATATACTCGACAGATGACCCAACACTTACTGGCACTTGTAGACCTCGGTAACTTATTGTTGTCTAAGGCATGAAATAACCGAATGGGTGCATGTGACCAGAATGATCTGAAGTAAGAATTGGAGACTGAAGATTCTAGAGAGCAACAAACTGGGACTTTATCGGCTTACAGTCACTTGTAGAGGCAACACATTTTTCCTTATATCATATTTCTGTAGGCTACCATACACTGCAGATTCCTCAATATCACTGAGACATTACAAACTTTTCTCCACTCTGTCAGAAAAATACGAACAAAACCTTTCTCGACGATAACCGGAATCGCACTCGAAGGTGGGGATTTCTTCGTATTCTTGAACAGTAAATCCAACTTCATCAACTTCGTGTGAAGTTACGGCTAAACCTGTAAGATTCCAGCACAATTTGTAGGTTTGGTGGTCTCCGGAATTAGACTGTGGCAGACACCGGCAAAGTATAACTTCCAAATGGAGCGAAACCATCGCCCCTGACACAAACTATCGCCTTCGATATTTGAGAATTAGCTGCAAATTTAGCAGCCCAGTGGACTTTGTCTTCCACAAGGACACTAGCAGCCCTTTTGAAAATAATTTCAAACACTTCATTTTTGCGTTCCTTGAATTTTCTTAGGATTGTGACACCAGAGCTAAATTGGGCGGTACATCCGTTAGTAGTTCGCAGGGGTATCGCTTCTTTGGTTCTTCGCTGGTTTGCGCTCGTACTAAACGTGCACCTTGATGGTCGTTCGTATGTTCGCTGAGCTGGGAAATTTGATTGAAGTGGAGCGTAGCGATGGCAAACTATCAGACTACAGGTGGGAAAGAGCATCTGCGCGGTTGCGGAAGCTTGCGGAGTCCAGAAAGCTGGGGAGATGGATGAGGTGGGAAACTCTGAACGTGTGTAAACTGTTCCAGCTGATACGCTAAACAGGCCGAAAGAGGTCTCCGCTGAGCGAAACAACAACTCGTCTAGTTCTATAAAGTAAAAGCGTTTGAATCGTTCGGGTGAACACTTTCAAGATCAATTCAACTTGTGACCTTCGGTTGCTCAGACGAGTTCCCGACTCGCAACGCAACTCTGAACCCTGCGGCCTCGGAAATAAATAAATGCTTTTCGTCTTACAAGCATTATGGAGTTACTGGTGTAAAGTTGACACTACTGATGGGGGAGGAATGCGAGTAGCATGTTTTCTCGTAAGTCCGCTTTGCGTCTCTTGAAAAGTGAGATCTATTACGGAATTTGTGGAGTCGCTTTGTCGCATTTGCTTGGATTTGAGCAACAGTCAGTGAATATCCATAAAAAAGAAGAAGACGCGTTCAAAGAGAGGATGGATATTCAGTTTTTGTAAACAGGATGCATATGAGAGTTTTACTTCCCTATCCAATAGTCTGTAACTGTTCAGTTGTCATATTTCAGTAAATAACTCCGCAGTGAAAGCCTTCTTCCTTTCATTGGTATGCTTCTGTTTAAACATGGAGGTGAAATCCTCAGTCGGTACTTGTTCAAATAATTTGCCTATATCTAGACGAAAGTGGTCCTCCAAACCAGCTGGAGTTGAGTCCACTGTGATGTCCATTTTCAAAAAGGGTGCTAGCAGTGATTCCCGTCATAACCAGACCCTTTGAGTCGCTCATTTCACATCTTCTTACGAGGAAGAATAAGGAAGAGATCATATCATACAGGAATCCAGCCGGGAGGAAATTGTGTGGACCAGATCTTCAGAGTGCATCAAGTGTAAGAGCAAAGGCTTGCGTATAGGCACCTTACAAATTTGGTGTTCCTTAGCTCTAAGAGTGCGGTCGATTTTGTCGACTGGTTGGTTTTCTTTTCAACATGCTCGTGGAACCCGTTGTACATTCACGTACCTGTGAGCGCATGAGAACGTGAGAGAGCATGAGAGCTCTCCAGGAGGCATCCTACGAGGAGTGATGTGCAAAAAATGACGTCCACTCCCACCATTCCTTTCTTACTTTTTTCATTGATGAAGCAGTGGAGCAAACTCTCAGTATTCGGTGTTTAGATCTCCCGGAGCGACAATTCGAAATACATAGGAGAACTGGTTCCCACTTTTGAAGAAGAGAATGCAGCATAGGTATTGCTAGAAAAACTGACCAAGGGAATCCAGCTCTTCGGCACCTGCTTCGGACCTAAAAAGTGCAACCTCATGCTGCCGGACGTATTTTTTTTAAATATTCTCTCGAGAATTCAGGGAGTGATACTGAAAGTTCTGGGATACTAAACGTATCTCTGAAGTTATATTAGCTTTGACAGTAATGCGACGGTCAAATTTCCAAGGCCATACTTGCTTTTACCATTTTAGGCCACTTTCGGCAAGAGAAAGACAGAGGAAGCGTATATGAAACTGCAAAGTGAGCTGTATTCTTGTACATCTACGAGGCTTGACCACTTCAAGCAGGATATATGAGACATATTCAGGCCTTTGACCACGAATGTCTCAGAAATGTAGCTGGAGTTGGCTAAAACCAGCAATTTAGCTATAAGATGATCAACAGACGGGCCTCTGGTGAAGCAGACGGTACTCAGTCAAGGAGTACATCCAAGATTGCAAGCTCAACTGGCAGGGCCTTGTGCTAGACATATCGGGTTAGCTCTGCAGAAATGAACACCATTTCGGTGCCTAATTTGGGGTAGCGGAAAACTGAGGGTGGACAGAAGTTGATACGGTAGCGTAGAATGAACGATATTACAAAAATTTCAGGTGCCGCTGGTGCAATTCGCCTTCCAGGTCCAGATGACCCTCTGTCAGGACGCGCCCAGACATGAAAAAAAGCACATGTGCACAGAGTGACGCATCCCCAAGGTCCCAATCGGCACAACACGTTTCGGATAGCAGGTGCGTTGGCTGAGCCCACCAAACACGGCTTAGCAACGTAAGACCAGTGGATTGGGGCTGAAAGTGTTCACGACCGGAACACCGCCATTGGCTGTGCAGAACAAACAAGTGGACGACCATATTAGGCCATTTAGTCATCCTATATATTTACGCAGAAGCTCTGTACGATACAGCCGTGTCCAGGGATCTCTGTCTACTCCTTGTCGCATAGTCTGGCAGGCTTAGTGCGGGCGTAACCAATGGACGGCCACCCACGATACGACACCCTCCCTATTCTGGCTGAGAACACTGGTTAAGACGGTGGCTAACAGATGACAGTGGTGTTGATTCCTTGATTTTCCATCTAAATTTTCTGACACAAAGTAGACGTAGGCACCTCTGATGTTTGTTGTAGGCTAGCCCCAGGTCCCCCCTCCATGTCCCATCATTCTTTTTTTCATTATAAGGCTTATTCAAATAAATTGATATGGCTGTAGGGTAGTAAAGTGCCAATGCCATCAACTGGTGTTACTGTCTAAGACTATTACGATGATAATAGAAACGTAGTTCAAAAGTTTGCTGATGTCATCGCTATTCGCAAATGGAAAGCAGATGTGTGAGCAGAAACAGCTCCTTGTGTTGTTTTCGCTGTCACAGTAGAATGTAGATTAATCCTTGAATATGATGAATTTTCGAGAAATACACCCATTTGCAAATCAGTTTGGCCTTCACGAGAGACTAAATAGGATTCCTCGTTTATGATATTCTACAACTGAATGTGCTGCACACAGGCCGCGTCATGTTTCAGTCGGCACGATATTTGAGGTATCGCAATATATTTTTCATAAAGGAAACTACTCACAAGGTCGCTGAAAACTCTTCGAGAGCCCACGATCGGTTTCGTTCTTCTTGGGGCTCAAGATGATGAATTCTCCATTTTCAAATTTATTCTTTGTTAGAGGCTGCAGCACGCGCCTCATTAGACAGTAGAATATCATACGGAATCGCACTGTTTTGGTCCATCTTCGAAGGCAGAGTTTTTAAATTTTTCTCATCAGTTTGTTTACCTCCCGTCAGTTGAAGAGGAATTCACCTGTAAAGAAGTCTTCATGCAAACAGCGATCCACTTACGGCTGGAACTCTTCGACTCGCCTGTTTTCCGCGGGTGTTGAGGAAGCCTGGTCCTTGAGCTTCTAAGCTACTCTCGGGCTTTGTTGTCTGTTAGATCTTCTCTTGAACCACGCTGTACAAAGATGAGTCATTCTCATCAAACCAATGCTTTAGTTCATTTGTATCCACCGCAAATGCCTGGATGTGTGTTGGTATCCGGATCTGTTGGTTTTCTGGTGCATTTGTGGTATAGTTTTTAACCAGCCTTTGCGTTTGGACTTCACAAGACTTTACTGCAGTTTCCTGATTCGTCAGTTTTCTAGATCCAGCACAAATGACTGGCGGATGACGTACGGTACGTGTTCCGATATGCATAAGTACAAAAAAGGTTTCTTTGCCACACAACGATATAGTTGACCAGGTGTCTGTGTCCAACTCTTGGATGGGCTCACGTTGGAAGTGATGTCTACCCTGTATTGAACCATGTGCCTACAATTATGGAAGGTTTAGATGTTGTAAACAGTGGAAGCGATCTCCCACGGTTTTCGTTCATTGATGTGTTTTCAACTGGACTCATTATATTCTTCCAGATTTCACAATCCTTGCCAGTGTGAGAAGCGAAAATTTTCAACAGAAAAAGGATTCACCTGAAGGTGCAAAGCTGACCTGAACCCGAAAGCTGGTTGTAGAAATCGTCCTTTTCCTTATCTGAACGACAATGTAGGAGCTTGGACGCTAGCAAGTGTGAAAAAGTTTATTCTTGACAGCTGAAGTCATTTGCAAGTTGATGCAGCTCGGTTCATCAGTTATTCTCTGACGCATGTGATCTGCAACTAAGAATGCGATACCACATGTAGTTCTACCCCGGTAAAAGGTGAAAGAAGAGCAAGCTGGGTCTCACCAAGTATAGAGCTGGGGTTATTTTCAATCCAAGTCCTCCACCCCTGTCTCCTTTATCCTCACAGAGAGGAGCTTTCACGTAGCTGGTGTTTTACAGTCCGTATTATGTGCGAGCCTACAACGGGGGTCCCCCATCCAAGCCTTCGACCTGAGGGTTTGACAAGGCTGTGGGGGCCGAATTAAACGTGAAGTACGGGAAGCAGAGCATGCAATTCTAACTCTTACTGCTACTTCTCACAGAAGGTGCCTTCTGACTAGCAACAGACCTCTGATTTTTAGAAGCATTTTGACCTTATTGGACGTTGCGTCAGCGGCCATGGTGAACTGCTGTACGACCGGAGCGTGCGATTTCTAGGGATGATCTTTTCTAAAACATCCATCCTTGGGCACAGGCAGCATCTCTGTCTCCATAAATATAGGTGTACTGGTTATCTGAGGAAACACCTTACTCCACAGTGGACAGCACAAACTTACTTTTGGATAATGCGTGACAAATATTGTGCGCTCTTCGTGGAGTGACGGGAAACTCTTCCTATACCCGAAAAACGTATTTCTTGTTTTACTTTAGTTCCTCCTGAGGACGGATCGCCTCTAGGAGGAGTTAATTTCTGGTCGATCCCCTCAGTTGGTTTCAGTAGAGGACGAAATCTGCAGTACCTGTGGTGACTTACTTTAGTTAGCCGGCATTTCAACGGGGCTATCCGATTCAAAGCGACTCTGGTGATTGTTACATTACTATCAACGCAAATAGATCAGTTCTTTATCGGGCGAGTGAACAGATTTTCTGAGTTTATCGGTCAACACAATGGCTGGATTCAGGTATGAGTTAATTTCTGTCGATCCCCTCAGTTGGTTTCAGTAGAGGACGAAATCTGCAGTACCTGTGGTGACTTACTTTAGTTAGCCGGCATTTCAACGGGGCTATCCGATTCAAAGCGACTCTGGTGATTGTTACATTACTATCAACGCAAATAGATCAGTTCTTTATCGGGCGAGTGAACAGATTTTCTGAGTTTATCGGTCAACACAATGGCTGGATTCAGGTATGATTAGGCCGTCAATCGAGACTTAGTTAGTGGTCAGATTGTTCACTAAATTTGGCAATCTTTCTTGAAACGTTTCCTCATCAATCGATGTGGTGACGAAACGCGGCCATTTCACAATTCGCTATAGCCGATAAGGCGAACAAAATGGCTTCGAATAACATCAGAAATGTGCTAGAAAGATCAAAGCTCACCTACAGACACTTTGTTCCACACTCCCATCTCATCTGAATATCTCGGTGCAAAGTCCCACAGACAGTGTTGTTCAACGTCTGAGCCAAAGCTCACTCTTGGCGCAGTGCGTTAACTCCGAGCCTTTTTTTGCTAGTAAACGAGCATGTGATTTGGCAAATGTGCATCTGCATTTAACAGCAGGCCGGGATGAAAGTTATGCGATGGACGTAAAGAGATTGGATTCGATGTCAGCTGGATTTCCATTCGTTCTTCTCAACACCATGGCTAGGCATGGATGTCAGCTTCTCGGAGATGTTCAGTTATTGGGTCGTGAAAGTACACCTCACACGTAGTAAGCATTACATAACCAGAGCGTATTAGAAAGATTCGCCTTCCCCTCATTTGGCAGTCGCTGTTGCATGTTCAATCGTAGCACAGCCACCTTACTGTTTTTTAAGCCATTAAGATTCATCGATTTTTGGTCAAAATTCACCCGCTTGCTTGGAGCGCCATGGCAGGAATGTGTTCAGTATACTGAATACGGCTGAAGTTGTCACCTTGATTAATCTGTTTCTGCTGAATAACTGGAATCGTTTCACTTTTATATCTACTTATTACTAAGAGTTTCAACCTTGAATCATCATTTAACTTTATCTATCTAGGAAAACATGAAACCTCCACATGTCAGCAGTCCTTATACTGGAAAGTCTTGAGGGCATCAGCTCGTCCTACCCCATTTTAGTTGAATACGGAGGTGTCTTCTTTACTTCTTAGTGTTGCATCGGACAGCTATTTTGCCTTGAGGTAATCCTTCATATTTCTGGTAGAAGAGATTGGGCTCAAATCGTGCCATAGAATACGTCATCATCACCAAATGGTTTTTTGTGGGTACCGATCGGTGTATCCGTCATCCGAATAGTGCTCCACCTGCCTGCTTTGTTGTTGTCTACAGTGTGCACATCAGCCATCCAGCATTAGCAACAGGAAGAAAGTGGGTTCTACGTTTTCATAAAGGAAACTACTCACAAGATTGCTGAAAACTCTTCGACAGCCCTCGGCCGGTTTCGCCCTACTTGGGGCTCATCAGGTCGGTGCAGTCCCCGAGTTTCCGTCAATCTTATGTTCCAATTTCTTAGGTTCTATGTTCTTATGGGATCTCAATACCTATCTGACCAGATACCGCATCACTGGAGGCCGTATATCCTTAACACGCCAGATAACGCATACTTGTGAATTAAGAGCACGGAACTATAGAAACCTGTTGTTCATAGGCTTTAATCAATTGTTCTCATCCAAGTTCGGTGCAGTCCCGAGTTTCCGTCAATCTTATGTTCCAATTTCTTAGGTTCTATGTTCTTATGGGATCTCAATACCTATCTGACCAGATACCGCATCACTGGAGGCCGTATATCCTTAACACGCCAGATAACGCATACTTGTGAATTAAGAGCACGGAACTATAGAAACCTGTTGTTCATAGGCTTTAATCAATTGTTCTCATCCAAGTTGCTACGCGCTTGTTTGTTATGTTGCCTAAGTATGCTTCCTCACATATCAGATGCGGTCATTCATTCGCCTTTGTCTAGTACGCGGCCTCTGTAATCCTCCGAGTAATAGTATGAGCCGAGAATGGATTTGTGAATGTCTTGAAAAGCTTCACTACTGAATTGGATATTTATCATCTTCGAAATTCCCTTTCAAAATTTTCTCACATCCAGGTTGTCTTACTGAATGAAAAAGAGGTAACCGTCGAGCTAATTCCTGTTACATATATAGGACTAGCCAGCCCTCCGACTTTTTCGGATCCATTTCGAATGTCCGAACATATAGTGTAATAAAACGGTTACCACGGCTGTTTCTGTGAGCTGTTGCATGTTGTTTCACACTTACTCGGCTTGTTACTATATCGAATATGACTTTAAATGGTGAACTGCCGTTTGACAACACAACTTGAAAAAAGTTTCGTAACCAACGCCTCAGAATAGTTTCAGTAAAGTGGTCAAGTAAGTTAAGGGGAGTTTGTAGCAATTGGTAAGAACTTGCTGCCTAGTTTTATGTGCATTCGACTGATGGATGGCCTCGAGCCGCTTAACGTGATTTCGCGAGTTCTAAACACCCTGAAAATTCGGGAGGTGCGATGGCGCCTAATAAGGACTAAACAGCTGTTTAGTGCTTTTGGGTTTTTCGGCTTATATTGGCTTAACTCCCCAGAAGAAACCTCGACTGAAAATAGCTTAGTATTGAGTAAGTTTGGTGGTTAGCCCATCCACCCTGGTCCACTATAATTTTCCGGTTTCCGTATCGTTCCGTCCATGCAACATACCATCAGAAGACTTCGTACTATAGAGCCGTTGAAGAATCCAACTGGATTTTGTTCGACCTCGTCATCCTGCTGCTGGAAGGGGTCCGGTAAAACAAACACGACCTTTACTACCTGTCACAGCGATGTGGGAAGCGGGCGTCAGTATTTAGTGAGGATTTTTCTTTCAGGTTCAAGTGAACCGATCACAGGTACATAACATCACCACTGGCTCTTTGAGTCACTTTCCACTACCTGCTCAGGAGATTAATGCAGAGCCTTTGGTGTGATTCGTCTTGCGTACCACATGGAAATTAACCCACTGAAAAGTGGAGCTATCCAGCGAGCGATAGACAACTACTATGGTCCATGGTGAAGCGTTTACAAGACATTAGCTGGCCAGCTAACTGCAGCGAGTGAAGACCGCCATGCGCAAGGATAATTTATCACTGGATCCCGATACTTATCATTTTTAGTTGTGATTCACGCTTGGCCGGAAAATGCACTGGAAGCTCTTCCAAGATATTAGTTCTCTTGGTATTTTCCAACTTTTTGACCTCTTAAAATCTTTCACTTTTGGTAGAGTTTTCTCAGACCATTGTAAGCCTCTTAAATATCCTGAAGATGCCCACAGTAAGATCCACAGGGTCCAGTGCATCCAATACGCTCGCACGATAAAACGTAGCTAAGGCTTCATCCGTGTTCGTCTGGCCCTGTGAATGGATTGGCGTGTGTCCGCGAATAATGTTCAATCAATGGGTTTGAAATCCATCCAATTGTTTACATTGGCACAGATGCTACAGTCAGTGAAATTTCATCCGTAGTCGCAGCGTTCGATGCAGATGAAACAATGTGCTTCGGCTGAATTCTAATTATTTCTGTAAAACAATGGGATAATCGGGTCTCGAACGAACAATTCATGCAATTGGTTAAAGAAGATATTCCCAGAGCACTCAAACTACAGGCTACATTAGACGGGTCTTGTTTTTTCAAGCAATTGAAAAAAGTTTGGAACCGGTTAAGTAGTCATAGTCTCAGAAGAGCTCGGCAAACAATCAATAGTTTTTAAGTGGACTTTCTTGGTTTTGGTCTTGCTCGCCGCACCAGTGTCGACTGATGGCCACCCTTCAGTAGATCTCCCACTCCGACGAAAAATTCGCTCACGAATACACCTTCACAGTCCTTCCATCAATCAAAAGGGGGATAGGAGAAAAAAAGCTTGAAATAACACCAGTCTGCATTAACCTGATGGTCGAATTGTAGGTAGGCATGCGGATCGCGTGCGTCCGCACACAAACCGATAAAAACGGTCGTGGCTGTAAGTCGCCTGGCGCTGACAGGCAGACAAGATACCAACCCACGTCCACTACGTGACTCTAGTTGCTGTGCTGACTGAACAAAGCGCTCTACGATGTTCAGAACGTGGGTTGGATGCACACGGTGCAAATCATGGGAGGAAGAGACGTTGTTCGCCTCAGAAGAGCCAAACAATCAATAGTTTTTAAGTGGACTTTCTTGGTTTTGGTCTTGCTCGCCGCACCAGTGTCGACTGATGGCCACCCTTCAGTAGATCTCCCACTCCGACGAAAAATTCGCTCACGAATACACCTTCACAGTCCTTCCATCAATCAAAAGGGGGATAGGAGAAAAAAAGCTTGAAATAACACCAGTCTGCATTAACCTGATGGTCGAATTGTAGGTAGGCATGCGGATCGCGTGCGTCCGCACACAAACCGATAAAAACGGTCGTGGCTGTAAGTCGCCTGGCGCTGACAGGCAGACAAGATACCAACCCACGTCCACTACGTGACTCTAGTTGCTGTGCTGACTGAACAAAGCGCTCTACGATGTTCAGAACGTGGGTTGGATGCACACGGTGCAAATCATGGGAGGAAGAGACGTTGTTCGCGACGTCATCGCTTTAATCACAATCGATTGCCTGTTTGTTATTTGACGCTATGTTCCCTTCTTCACCGATGTGGTCGCTGTCCCCACTTTTTGAACACAACATTTTGGACCTAATCCGATCAGCGTGCTGCTTTCGCGCTAGGGTCCCTCACAGCCAGTGTATGTTCAATGTGTCCATAAATCATCAGGCTAACCTTCACATATAACGCAGAATTGGAGTGTTCGGATGTGTCCACATGATTTCACAGGTGTGAGCTATCAGCTGAGCAGCCTCATGAGGTGTCACCAGAGCTGTCACCACTGGTGATAGTCGCTGGATGTACACGGTACACAGCACGCTCAGCCGGTTACACACAGGGCTCAGCGCACTGGTTCAAAAACAATAAATTATGGTCCCGCTTATATTCCTTATGAGTACTGCAGCCGAAACAATGATTTAGCAACAGTGTAAACCCGACACCCCCCAGCCACAATCACAACAACAACACACAATACTCCCAACGAACTTCATCGTGTCCCATCTTGTTTTATCACGGCAATGCCTTCTCCATTTTACTAGTAAACCGTGGGTGCCAGTGGCACCCCCATTAGCCCCCACCCATCCCCGTCTGCACGGTGGGTGTTCGAAAAAGTAAGGTTCACCGAGTTACAGGCGAAGGAGTCAGAAAGCAGGAAAATGCGACTCGGTCGATGTATGGTATGGGTTTTAGCCCATATTGATATGAATGCTCAAATCCACCTGCATTTGATTGGTGTTCAGCTGCTCAGTAACACATATTATGAGTATGTGGAATCAAACAGAAACAGCAGAAACACTGGCCACATACACGTTATTACTTTTGGCAAAAACACATTCCATTGTTCAGCATAAACACGCACCAGAGACCACCACCCCCCGATAAGGGGCAGAACCTTGTTGTGAGTTTTTCGTTCACGGAATGGTCTTTAGCCCGAGTTTCGTCAACAGAAGGAGTTTCTCTTACATTAACTTATTGAAACTATCAGGTTTCACTTTTTTGGTCATACTTAGCCATATTTGTAGAGGCTGTGGTCCTGGCTATCCATGTGTTAATGGTAAGTTGACTGAAGTTAACTTGTGGTCTTTCATTTCAGAAGAGTTTGATAGGCGGCTGGTCGCTTTTACCACGCCCTTCTAGAACCATGACTTCTCAATCGATTCCAAATTTATACCTTGTGGTTGTTCTTCCTGTCAGAATGATATGAGGTAAACAAAAACGCTGTCGCACACTCAACCATTCGGTCCAGCCTCTGCGTACGACCTCATCATCATCATCACCATCATCATCATCATCATGATCATGATCATCATCATCATCGACAGCATGATATCAGTGTTCAATACCGATGCTTCACTGCCGTACAACCGTGATTTATCTGAAATCCTTATTGTGAAGAAAAGAATAAAGTGGATGGGGGAGGGACTTAGTGCTAGCTTAACACAATCATTCCGAGGTGTCTACACCTCTAGACATTCACTCAGGCAATCTGGATAGAAACTGACAACAAGAACGCCACTGACATCGGTTAGCAGCCATATATTGTAGTGTCTCCAACCAGGCACAGTGAGGATCACGCGGTCCCCATCCTGGAAGGCGAGTAGCACCGACAGCACCCAAGCATGATCTCCTTAATACTCCTCTGCCAGGTCATGGGGTGGGCCCCTCTCTGTTTACGCCACTCCGAATTGGGCATGGAAAACAGTACTCTCTTCGGCAAACGATGGTTCGGCATACGTGACACATGTCCCAACCAACGCAGCTTCTGGTGCTGAAAACATTCTTCAATGGAAGTACCTGTTACACAACCGAAAACACGCTTTCTAACTGCCTCGTTACGGATTCGCTGACACCAACCCACACGAGCTATGGTTCTGAGACAACGATTGTCGAACACCTGAAGACGTCTCAGGTCCGCTGCTCGAATAGGCCAAGTCTCACAGCCATACAACAAAACAGCCCGTACTGTAGCTTGATACACAAGTCTGTTCAGAGAATACAAAGAACGTATTATGTTTACAAACTTCCGGGGCATTCCTTGCCCCACGGCGTACGACCTCAGAAGGAACTCAAACTCATAAAACTAGCGGGGTTGTGAATACCGAACCAGTAGATATGTCGAACACCAAAGGTAAGCGTCAAAATTTCATGGTTATCCAAAACAACATGCATTTGTAGCTAGCCTGTGGTTGCAAAACTGAAGTGAATTAAGGACCAATGATCCTCAGTTAATATTCTGGTTATTTTAGGGTGATCGTTAATCCGCTTATCAGATTCCGCTAGCGCATGAGGTTAAAGCTCCCCGGGCCTAGCTGCATCGATTTTTTATCCGATCTCACACAGCCTCACATTAATCGAACAGTTCACAACCACCTCCACGGGAGCCATTTTTCATCCACACAAGTGAGTATAGAGGGGGTATGTAAACTCAAACCACCCACCAAGCTTCCCGCAGCCCGTACGCATTCACTATCTGTCACAGTTGTGCGCAAAAGCGTGGGTGAGCTCGTGGATTGACAGTAGAACGATCGATTGGTCGGCATTTCGACCCCGAGAATCAAGTCTAGTGCCTAATAATTTGCTTTCAACTGGTACGGCATGGATAAATCAGTTGAGTCGCATTTTCCGGCTTCCCACCCCCTTCGCCTGTGCGTAGGCGAGCCTAAATTTTTCGAACACCCACGGTGCAGACGGGGGTGAATGAAATCTAATGACGGCGCATGCGCCACCCGCGATGCACGAATAAGTTGTAGAATGCATCGCAGCCAGCTGAATAATTACGCCACGATAAAACTAAATGGGGACACGGTGAAGGACAGTGGAAGAATGTTGTGTGGGTCGTTTGACTGCTAGAATAGGCAGTTTGGTGGTATGTTTTGTTTTACTGGTAATGGTGTTTGGAGATCGATCAAAGTCCCGTTGCTCCATAGTCAGATAACCTGCACCGAGGGTGTACAGTGGAATCGGAGCAGAGAATTTCAGAGAACTGCTCCAGTTTCGTTTGATTGGTAGTTTACGGAACGCCAGCCGTTTTTTATCACAAGTATACCCAGATGTCCAGTAGACCAACTATTGGATGCCAGACAACCGTATCTCTCGACAGAATGTGAGGGAATTGTATTCGGGTAACATGACCAAGTGCACGCAGTCGTACACTGATGGATAACATGTATTGAGGGAAATAACAGGACTGAATCTTTTTCAAAGAGGAAACTACTCACAAGGTTGTTGAAAACTCTTCGACAGCCCACGACCGGTTTTGCCCTTCCACTTCGGGCTCCCCGAGTTTCCGTCAACCTTATGTTCTACTTGAACCCAAATTGGACTGTTTTCGAGAAATACACTCATTTGCAAACCAACTTGGTTTTTGCGTGGGACCCAAATGAATCTCTCTGGAGTTCGGTTTTTTTAAGACTTACGGCTCTTTCTGAAATTCACTGGGTTTTTCTGGACAAAAATCACAGGTGCGCTCAACTCATACGCAGCACTGTGGACACCTCGGAATAACCTGAAAGCCTACAGGTTGCCTAATAGCAGAAACCTCTAACGCCTGCTTTGAAACTTGGGTTGGCACCCACGTTTTCATCAGTCCAAATACGAATTCAGCCCATTTCAATAAACCATCTGTGACAACGGCTGAGGGAAATCATCTGAGTGATAGCAATTGCTCTCTGGATCAAAAGACAGCTGGTGAATTCTAACAATGCTCGATGGTCTCGCCCACTGGGCTACTCCAGCGGATTGCGAAACACCGGCGGCATGAACGATGCATCTGTGTGTCGTAAAACAAAACTGATACAGTCGTAGCACTGAAGACGGTAGAGACACGACAGCGTCTAGTACCTAAGACGAGCCCTTTTCTACCAAGCACTGGGCAACCGGGTACAGAGAGTAATGTTGTATGAGTATCGCCGTAACAATGGTGATGGGACAGCGTTCTGGCTCAATACAATTGTCGGTGAGGTGTGGCCAGCAACGGAAAGGCACGTTCTGGAACCTTTGCCAAAATAGCTATGCAATGAAAGGGTAGACAACACAGGCAGGATAATTGTTTTGAATGAAGCTTCACACAAAACAGAATAGAAATTCGGAAGGAATATATGCCACACCTTCCAACATGATAGACTACAAAATAATCGATAAATGATTATGAAGGTTTTTAAGCTTGCAGGAATTGCAGTAGCCCATTCTGGGAGGTTGACAAGTTTCTGGCTGTTTCCAAACCTGTTAACCGATGAGGCCATCTTATACTTGAATAACAATTCTTTACAGAAATGAAGCTAAGTTAATTGTTTGAGCGGATATCCTACCAACAAAGTTATTGGATTATTTTTTTCTTGCCGGATAATATAACCGGTATACATTGTTTTTAGTTACCACTGGATATCCTAGTTGCCGTTAGACCTGTTATGTAACACACCTACTGAGTCCAACTAATGCTGTTTGATTTCAAGGCTCTACCAGGCTAGCTCTGAAATGTACACATTTGGAAAAAAGAAGCGTTTTAAAGTTGGTGGATTGGCATGGCAGAGTCCTACACCCAGCTAAAATCAACTAACCATTGACTACTTTCGTTAAAATGTTTGAAGCGAGAAAACTGCAAGAATATAACGGAACATCGTCAGTATGAGTGATGAAACCATTCAGATGACTTTGGGAACTGCTGCAGATGTAAGCTTTTGCGCTGTTAGTGCATAACTTTAGTGACGAAAATGACTCACCCAACACGATTGCTACAACTTCGTTGGGAAAAAGTAAGTGCAAAATTAGCGAGCGTCACAGTATTTAAAGTGTACCTTCGATCTTGAGTCGTGATTGTGCGGTCGATATTGAGCGACTGATTGGCATTACCTCTAGACTGCGCATGAGCACTCGAGCATCGTCAGTGCTCACCGATTGGCTGTTTGAACATTCATTCGATAGTCGTCTTTTGTGGCCCGTAGCCTCGGCGGCCTTTCGGAAAGCCATTTTTTGAAGGAACTAGTGGTTCCCATTAAATTTCGGACGTTCTTGGGTTATTCACACATCAAACAAACATCAGGATTTCATCGTTCCAGAGGGCTTTGGTAAACAATCGGTGGATTTATTGCTGGGCAACGCTTCGCTTTTGACACAAGGGCCAAGTGAGTAAGTAAGTAGGCTGATTGGGTTTTAAGGCAGTCGGGGAGCCAATCCGTGAGTTTCCTTATGACTAGTGACGTGATCAGTGCTGGGTGTTCAGTCTGATGTTCCTGTTTGTTGGTTGATGGGGATGACTAAGATTTACGATAGACTGGTTAAGGGGGGAGGGGTTCGACTTTATGATGAACCCGGATTTTTTCGTCCTTGCTTCTTCAGTCTAGGACACCTTAATGAAAAATTCCTCTTGGGGTCGTTCACAGATTTCGTTCACCTGTGTTCGTCCAAGGACAGTGGTTTGGGGATGGGGGTGGGGTGGTTAATTGGATCTAACTCTACTTGGATTTTCGTACTTTTTAGACCCAGGTCTCTGGTGGGTGTTTATGCTGAACAATATAATGCGCGTATTTTTGCCAACAGTAATAACGTCTAAGTGATCAGTGTTTGTTCGATTTCTGTTTGATTCCACTAACTCATAATCTGGGTCACTGAGCAGCAGAACACCAATCAAATGTAGATCGATGTGGGCATTCATATCAATATGGGCTAAAATTCATACCATACACCGATTGAGTCGCATTTTCCGGCTCCGCCTGTAAGTCGGTGAACCTTGCTTTTTCGACCCCCCCCCCAGTGCAGGATTGTATATGTAAGTCGGCCTTGTTTTTTCGCCCCCCCCCCCAGTGCAGGATTGTATATCATAGTAGTGAAATATATTCTGCTAGGACTTTCAGAAACAGACATGTGAAAGAATTGGTTCAGAGGTAATGTCACATTTTGTTGAATTGCGTGGCCATACGACTTGGTGGAAATTCTGTGCGTCGGTGATGCATTCACATGGTTATTCGGTGTACTATCTGAACAGTGGTCGGATATCGACATAGCAACAGAGGACTCAACAACCAGTGATTTATTTTCGGTCAAGATTTTGTTATCTCTGACGTCCTTAAGCTGTATAGTTATCCTTCGAGTGGGTATTCAATCGGAACAAAATCTCCTAGCCTAAATCATTTCCAACTGCGGTAGCTCTAGACATACTTGGGTTTGGGACTCGTGTCTGAAACGCCGGTTCTCTTTTGTTTTTCCTACCCTTGTTCAACTTATTTATATCCATATTTTAATACGTCATGCGACGGAGTTCTGTCCACTGAATCTACGATCAATATCGTCTTGGTACGGTAACCGCAGTTGGTATGTGTTCGACGTGCTGGAGTCGTAGTGTTTTTGCTTTCACTCTTCCCTCCTTGATTATTGTTCACAGATGAATTTAGTTCAAAGTGCCGACAGAATGTTCGTTTGCCCCAGTCGATCTTCACATAACACTATCATTATCCTTGGCACTGGCGGATACGGGAATCCTGTATACCATCGAAACTGTCAGAACATGCACTAGATGCCTTGCTTCGAAACTAGCTGGATGGGTTCCTGGTTATATCTCGGTTGTATTGCATGATCTCATTTCGTAAGCTCTTATGAAGCACAGAATGTCACATATTACGAACAATTAAATGAACCCATAGATCAGTGTTGGAGAATCAAATTGTAAATTTTAACTGAAAAACACAATGCAAAATCGAATCGTCCTGTCCAAGGAAGACGTAGTGTCTAACTTAAACCTTTTTGTGAGTAATGGCCAAGTCCGAATCGTTACGTACGTGATGCGTAAACTGGTTGATAGGAGAGTTTGGAGTGGTATCATGCGGCTCATACTGTCTCTCTCTCTCTCTCTCTCTCTCTCTCTCTCTCTCTCTCTTCTGTCACTAGCCAGGATTAGTAGCCAGGACACCTACTCAGCCGATTTCACAGTTTATTTTGACAGTTCTGTTGGCGTGAACGATTTCTCCATACGCCAATAGTAGCCAGAACGGGAACACTTCGCCAAAGGGGACTCACAGACCTAAAGACTGGTTCAATGTTGCACAATATGCAGAATGACTGTACGAATGACATCAGCTGTTCGCAGAGATATTCATTAACGTTATCGTCACACCCCTGAAAGAATTTGCAGTTAAGTTTGTGCTCATCTTCGGCTCATCATCGACTGGTACCACAGCCTGAATACTATGTCGGATACATTCGTGGACAGAGAAGTAGTCTTTTTTCATTATCTCTTTATTCAAAGCCAATGACGTGATGCTGACATGGTACTTGTTGCCCGGTGAGGCGTATTAGAAGTCCTATGGCCGTCTCCATTCAACAGGGAGGAAATTGAATCATTCGTCAAAAATTTTGCTCAACTGATGGAAAGGCGGTGGGACCCGGGAACTAGCCAATAGCTGACCGTGTACTTTCAAATGCCTGTCGTGGTCTCATCACTTCGGATTCGTCTTTACCGGGAGATTATAAAATGAGACTTGCTCAGACTTATACTTGTTCATCTAGGCGGACAAGCATTCCTACTGAAGAGGATTCAATGGTGAATATACAGGGACCGACAAGAATTGTTTACACACGGTAGAGTTGCTTCTGAGAAGGGGTGTTCTTCGGAGTAGTTTGCCATGAGATACAGAATCTCTTTCAAACAAAAACCATTTACAAAAAAATGCCCTGGTCCTAACTGGGGATAGCCATTCGCGCCATTAACAGTATTAACACGGGTAACGCAACTTGCGATATCAACATGATGACTATCGCATGTGAACATCCCTATTAAGGTTGGTAGCCTAACGAACACCCCTTTATAGAGGTTATCTCTGTCGTACACAAATATCAACACATCCCACTCAGGTAAACGAAGTCAGTGCCGTCTTGTTATTCAGCTATAGCTGGTTGCAAAATTTGTAGAATCCACACACCACCCTCGTTTGAACACTCGTCCTCCTGTCTTGGCGTAATTATATTATTCTGTGCTCATCAGCAATGCGCATCCTTGGTCATACTTGGGTTTGAATTCCAGACATCCGCATACGAGGCGAGCCTGTTGCGACTACTCCACCAGCACAAGCGAGACGCACCCGAGCAGTCACGGCTGAACAGGCCACGGTGTTCACGCTTGGCCGACGTGACTACTTGCCCGACGGTTAGAATGACGATCCAGTGACATTCCTGGTTCTGTCGATTGACTGGTCCGCCTGACAGGTCTTCTAATTCAGGCAGCGCCTGACTTGAAACAAGCCAGACAATTGTTGATTAGTTGTAAGTGGTTGGAATTCGCGGAATTCACGTGCACCGGTTCAGACATGATAATTTAGGAAAGTCCAGCACGCGCAGATGGAATAATCATGACAATCGCCTCGCATGGCTAAAGGTTAGCTAAGGTCGTTCAATCTAATTAAATATTTGACATGTGTTGACACACTGGTGCGCGTAGTGTGACTGTGTCAGACGGTACCTTTGCTTAGGGTTGTGTTATGCCGATCTACAGAGGCCGTATTCGTGGGTTGTAGCTACAATTGTCCCACCTTAGGAGTGTTTAGTCGTAGTTGGTCACTGAAGTGATCTCATCAGAGTGAGGCAACTGTATGTACAGTGAACTCAGCCGTTGATATCCATTGAAAGCCAACTCCATCTTCTTATTTCCTGGGGTACCTTAAATTTTCGAACGGGTAACAGTGTTGCCTTCTGTTACCGATGTGCGTTTCAGAAGCATGGCGCCTATTTTTCAAGGAACAGTTGACCCCATGGGAAGAGGCCAACCTCGGTTCCTAGAGGAGTGTATAAATGGTACATTGCCTCTCAGAAAAACGGACATCCTAATGTTCTGTCCACGAAGGTGGCAGTGTACTATCCTGTTTTTCTGCGCGCACTACCTCAACAACCCTTCGTCGATCATTCCAGGTGGTCTTCGAGAACGGTAATATACGCTAACGTTGTCATTTCTGAAGACACTGATCTGACTTTGTCCTCCCAGTGTCGTCGGAATGCATGGAAAACTGGTTCACGAACTGCATCCTGCGTCTTATTGGGATTTTGCGCAACACAAATGGCTAGGATGACTTTTAATGAGATCTTGTGTGGTTCCTTGGATAGGGGAAAGACTGGGTGGGGACTGTTGTGTAAAGGCCGGTTAACCTCGGGATCGTAACCCTGTTTGATCAGGCTGGGACCAGTTACACTGAAGCTGTTGGTAGGACGCCTGTAGATAGCGCCGTCTCAGACAGTGAAAAGGTGCGGTGGTGACGTACGCACCGTGCGCAGCACACGAGTGGGCTGAACAAGCTGGCCTGCTCGCCTAGGCTTGCTTACGCATGCCGCAAGACCGTCGGACCAAACGAGTGCCAAAAGTAAGCCTGCCAAGGCGGCTAGGGGAGAGAAAACGGATCGATACCTAGACAACACAGAGCGGATGACAATAGCGTGTGTCCGTCTTCACGACACCTACTGAGGAAACATCGGCAACCATTGCATGACTCCCATTGGCTGATAAAAAAACACCCTGCCCCAATCAACCAATCAGAAAATAAGGAAGCCTGGTCTATCGATCAAAACAGAAAAGAGCATGAAGCGCGACGTCAGTTGGCATTCGGAACTTTCGTTCGTTCTGGTTTGCGTCCCTTCCGCGCCTTGCAATGCGTGAGATTGTTCACATTCAAGCTGGCCAGTGTGGAAATCAAATTGGTGCCAAGGTAAGCACTTCAGTTGCTCGGTTGATTAAAGTGACCGATTTGTCACTACCGTCGTAGTGTTTATGTAGCAGAACTTTTTGCATGTGGGCCATGTACTTGAGGGGTTGATCAGCCAGAACCGGACAGATAGGACAGTGAGACATATCCATAAATCACCTAAGATTAAGTGATTCGCAACGCCAATTGCAGAGGATTCCACGATCACCTGGGTTTCTTGGTTGAATTGACCCTGTTTACGCACAAGCTGTTTCCAATGGTTCACTGCGTTCGGCGTTCATCTGCGGTCGAAATAGGTCTCATTCAGATGAACGTTTTTTATGACGGGTTCCAACCATAGTGGAGCAACGGCTGCGATAGCAAGCACTATGGAAGGTGCAGTTTTAGCATTGACGGCTAAATAAGGTGAGTCGTTTGCAACCTACCAGCCATTAATGTAGCATAGACGTGACAATTCCCCTTTGGACTGAGTCGAGTAATAGATGATAAGAGATAGTCCTGCCCAAAACGCGATGACTGAATAGGCGGATTTCGAAACTATGAGAGAAAGACATTCGGGACGCCGCTTGCACCTTTTTTCAAGGGAATCCAACTTGGGGCGGAGAACCAGGGTTGACCGTACTCACCGTCTGCAAATATCTTACAACGACACCACCCCGTAGTTGTGGTTATTGCTTCAAAGTTGATGGGCCTTTTCCTTTGGTCATGAATCCGTGTGACCTGTACTAACTGACTAACTGTTTCCGCTTTTCATGTGTCGTCTACGGAAACGAAGTATCATTGGTGGACAGTGATGTCATGCTGTTGATGATGGTGCATGTGTAGTTTAATCTGAATCCTGATGTCAGTTCAAATCTGGCGTCACTTCATTTACCCCATGATAGTTGTGCTTCGTCTTATCTAAGCAGACAATCAGACGTCCTCTTATTCTTGGTTTCCTTCAACACAGTCGACATCTTTCAAGAACTGTTTGTTTTGTCTAAGTAAGCACGGATATTTATCGTCTCTCCACACCGGTTCAACGGTCGCTTGCATCGCTCTCTGATCAAACCGATCGGTCGTGTTTTCTGCCGCGTTTGATCCAGCTGGTTCAGGTGTCGCTTAAATCACGTATCCTAAATATTGTATGTCAACTGAGACACTTATCCTGGTGGTATGTCACGTGGAAAAACCATTTTGGGAGTATATCTATTGTAGATAACCGTGGGAGGTTTGGATTCATTCCTGTACCAGTGTGCCTTATGAAAGGTAACCTTGAGGGTGGCAACGATTTTTCTCGTTCTTTGATCGCGGAGTATACGTGGGATCCTTTGTGATTAGATTGTGTCGCAATAATCACTCGACTTGGACGCAATCCTGTTTCTTTGACGCCGTATCAACGTTTCGCCCGACGTCAACAATAAGTACTTGGTAGTAGTATCTTGCCATATAAATTATCATTTACTCTATCCGTATCTCGCGTTTCCAAACGCGTCACTAAACTTCGCTTCCTGAGAAGATAAATCCTGCGTTTCGAAGGTCGCAGTTGTTGGTGTTTGCTCGAAAAATGCATCAAAGCACTTGCCGATAGTTTCAAGGCTGTTTCTGTTTCTCGCTGCAGTTCTGGGAAGTCATCTCGGATGAACATGGAATCGACCCCACTGGCACATATCACGGTGACTCTGATCTCCAGTTGGAGCGGATAAACGTTTACTACAATGAAGCTTCGGGTGGAAAATACGTTCCGCGTGCCATCCTTGTTGATTTGGAGCCCGGTACGATGGACAGCGTTCGTGCGGGACCGTTCGGCCAACTCTTTCGTCCTGATAACTTCGTATTTGGCCAGAGTGGAGCGGGCAATAACTGGGCTAAAGGTCACTATACAGAAGGAGCTGAATTGGTGGATTCCGTCTTGGATGTGATTCGCAAAGAGGCTGAATCCTGTGACTGTCTGCAAGGGTTTCAGTTGACTCATTCCTTGGGGGGTGGAACCGGATCTGGAATGGGTACGCTTATGATTTCGAAGATCAGAGAAGAGTATCCCGATCGCATCATGAACACATTTTCAGTCGTCCCTTCACCCAAGGTATCAATAGTAGTATTTATTGATATGATAATTGCTCTTATTGATTGTTTTTATTAATCTGGCAACCCAGTATCCCTACTTGTTATGCGAGCAGGTGTGCCGAATGGGCGCCAAAGTTGATTGATTTGTTTCCGTATCCAGTTGGCTGGTTTAAGGGATGCTTGTAACTAGTGAATGTTTCGGACGACTGTAGGAGTTACGAGTTGGCCAACCATCAGCAAACACTGATGATGTCTCTGAGTGTTGACAGGGTGTTGGAAACCAGTTATTTTCATGGAATATATCAAAAACTGTATGTCGTTAACGCCGCTAATGGACAAGTAACCACTGCATTGCAGTGCACATCATTCGTGTGGCAAATTTCCATGTTCCAGTAAAGTCAAACTAAGCAATCTTACGTGGGATACAAACCTGAACCATGATTCACGAAAGTTGTTTGGATTACTAGTTCGGCATTATCTAAACGGCTGAGTGCCCATCGAAAGCTCGCTTCCGTTTTTTCTTATCCATCAACTGAGTCAAGTCCTACAAGACCACAACATGGTCTCGTAGGTTTTGCCTTTTTAATTTACCTGAACGATGCTGGTACAGTTTAGCATTATGCTGACTACGAAACACACTTCGTCATTTGGGATTGCGGTTGGGGTAGACTTTTCAATTTCTCGTGTTCTGTTTTACTGGACTCGAAAGGTACCGTATTTTCGCGGAGACGAGCTGAGTTTCATAATTACCTGTTTGAACTTGTCATTAAGGACGATTTAGTTGTATTATCATACTGCTACGTGTTCTGCTTTCTGATGGAATCAAGTTATGAACCAATTTGTACATATATGCAGTAGAATTCAGTGGCACGAAAACTATCGGTAGGTTACCATATAGTCTTAAAAAGACGGTATATTAAGGGACTCTCTGCAATGTAGGCGAAATGGTTTATTGTGCTGTCTTTGAATATCGCTCTGTGAGCAACCCAGTTTAGGAGTTAAACGGGTGGAAAAGATGTGAAACGGATTTATGTAGACCAGTGTCAGTCTGTTGAAACCTTCATGATACACTGCTCTCGGGTGTTCAGAGATGCGCAAACGATGAAACTACCCAGAAAAATCGTAGTCGGTGCACTGCATTCGTTCGTTCTTATCGTGTATGATGTATGTTTGTATCATCAGCCTCAGTTGGGCCATCGGTTGTGTTTAGCGGGCTGCTTTGGACTGGGGACAGTCGATTTAGGGGATACATCCAGTTTGCTCTATGTACTGAGATCGACAACTTCTTCAAACATGTGTCCGTACCCATTACATATCATTCGGAACCCTCAGTTACGGCGGGAGGTAATGATCGGAACCATAATATTTCTAAGGTAACACTGGAACCGTCCAGGTGTCTACTCTAAGATTTTTGGATCTCAGTGAAAGTACGGTTATTGCCCACATTTGCTGCTGATATATACAAGTTTGTTTCCATTGTAATGGTTGTTTCGGCGTGAAATTACGGCACAGCCGACCACTATTCGCTGGATTCGCAGTCCTCTATATTCCATAGTTGTACGTGTTTGTAGGATTCATAGAATTAGCAATCATGCTTGTTTGAACGGTGCTCCTACTGTCGTGGCTCAGTCCTTCCCTACTCAAGCATTGTACTTGAATTTCACTCGCAGACAATCGTTCCACCCTTCGATTATTCACCTAGTCTTCAGGAGACAAGCACATTATTGTCTCGGATCAATTTCGTCATTAGCGAGCCAATCACCTGAATTTCGTTTCGGGTCAGACGTATTCCTAGAGAAGCTCGCATTTTAGGTCGGTTGGATACTGACACCATGTGGTACTTTTCTGTGGTAGCAGTTACCCGTCGGAACATCGGGTAGTGATCCTGCATATTTCGTACTCGCACTCATCAGGCAAACAAATGTATTTGGTCGTGAAACGCACTGTAATTACACACCTTTCGGAGATTACGTTTACTGACCGCTTTTTTTAAAATCCGATTCTCAGGTTTCCGATACTGTTGTCGAGCCATACAATGCAACACTGTCGGTTCATCAACTCGTGGAAAATACGGATGAAACATTTTGCATCGACAACGAAGCACTATACGATATATGCTTCCGCACGTTGAAGTTGACGAACCCTACTTATGGCGACTTGAATCATCTGGTGAGCGCTACCATGTCGGGCGTGACCACTTGTCTTCGTTTTCCGGGTCAACTAAACGCTGATCTACGCAAACTGGCTGTAAACATGGTGCCGTTCCCCCGCTTGCACTTCTTCATGCCTGGTTTTGCTCCGCTCACCAGTCGTGGAAGTCAACAATACCGCTCTCTAACCGTTCCGGAGTTGACACAGCAGATGTTTGATGCGAAGAACATGATGGCCGCTTGTGACCCTCGCCATGGTCGCTACTTGACTGTTGCCGCCATTTTCCGTGGTCGTATGTCAATGAAAGAGGTAGACGAACAAATGCTGAACGTGCAAAACAAGAATTCCAGCTACTTTGTCGAGTGGATTCCAAACAACGTGAAAACTGCTGTTTGTGATATTCCACCACGTGGGTTGAAAATGTCCGTCACTTTCATCGGCAATAGCACCGCCATTCAGGAGCTGTTTAAACGTGTTTCCGAACAGTTCACTGCAATGTTCCGTCGCAAGGCGTTTTTGCATTGGTACACAGGTGAGGGGATGGATGAGATGGAGTTCACGGAGGCCGAATCAAATATGAACGATTTGGTCAGCGAGTATCAGCAGTATCAAGATGCCACCGCTGAAGAAGAGGGAGAATTCGAAGAGGAGTTGGAAGAGGCCTGAGCCACCCACTGACTAGAATACGATCAACGTCGTTAATGCATTTGGTCAATGTTAAATCTAAATCGCATAAATTATCATTCTAAATGATCGTTTTCTCTGGTGATTCTCGGATGCGTTGGTGCTATCCCAGTGTACATGCTAGAATAGTTCCTGACCCTAGTCCCAAGTTTTACGTCCGAATAGCAGTGTGAAAGCAACATGTTTCTACTCAACATTGCTCAGCTGGTGTTGGAGTGCATCGGAGCAAACCAGGACCAGTTGGACGAAATAGTAAAAATTTTGTCATCTTAGCAGGTACCAACCAGTGACCATGTCACGTGCTTTTTAGGTGTGGCTTAACTGTTAGCACACCACATCGACCAGCAATCGTATCAAAAGTTGACATCGATTCGTCTAGATGTTTCGTCTCTATTTCGAAGGTGGATAGCAAACCCGCTTTGACAAATACTCAATACAGGCTGTCTCCAAATGCTCGAGTGGCTGATGTCTCACCGGCCCAGGTGGTCGGGCACGCGGTAAGGCCGTTTTCACTGAGTGTGCACACAATAGATAGTACATAAATGCTTCAATGTCAAGGTGGTCTTCACCGCTTGGAGCCATTTGAACTACCGAGCGTCCGTTGATATCTGTGGCACGTGCCGAGTATTGTGTAGTCTAGAGGGTATCGTGCCTTTTAAGAAATACCACCGAGGACCTGTTGATTCTTCTAGTTGTTGCTTAATTGGCTACCAGGCCTGGAACGAAGTTATAAACATAATTGGTACTTCATCTCTGTAGGGCCACATTAATTTTAGGACCCGCGAACAACAAAGTTAGGCGTTGTCAGCATCCTGAGAAAGTATTAACGAAATCAGGATTGCTTGCTTGCACTTCGTATTGGACACCACTGCATGATTTCCTAAGCAGACCCTTGTTTCTCTCGGCTGTCGACAAAGTTTCGTCCCTTTTCTTAAGTCCGACAAATGGTGTGAGCTGCGTTCAGACAGTGGAGAACAGAAGATAAAACAAAACTTTCAAACGATCTGCTTATTTTGCTTCTACCATACTTCCTACTGGACATTTTATTGGCGAAGGTCACTGCCCAAGATTGAATCGCAAGAAGTACTTTCCTCAGGTTTTCTGAAGTGAGGATGAATCTTTTCCAGATAAGCCCCGCCAAAAATTGACCCCTGCCACCGGAAAAAGAATAGAAAAAAGAGGATATGAAATTCGTACTCTTAGTTTCTTTTGAAGAGGGTGAAATTGGGACATATCAATAATTTGCATGAAAAGGTCTGTTTTTCGGCACCTTTGACTCCAAACGAACTCACACAAGCAGCCGTCCACCAAAGATCGGTGTGTGCCGCGTTTATTCCGCATCTTGTAGACGTGCCGAAGAGATTCGATGGTTTGTGTGTGAGCTCCAGTTGTTGGATCCACAAAGTTTTTGGTATGATTAACCGTTTCATGAGTATGATTCATGTCAATCATCGTTTCAATTCCTTGGTATGATGCCCATATATCGGAGGTGATGATTGAGCCGGGAGCGATGCAGGCCTGGATTGTGTCCATCAAAGTGGCCGCAGTTCGATCTGGCATTGCATACATGAACACCTCTAGTATCCCGGCAGATCCCTCCGAAAATCCACTGCTGGGGAAGGACTCGTCCTGCGTGTTTTTTGCGGCGGGATATTAGCGTTTCATCCATCCCGACGTGTAGACCTGGGCCGCCAATAACTCTTGGAGTCTGTAAAAGCCGCCAGGCGCAAACTTAGCGAAGAAAGTTCCTCCAGTCAACAGCTCACTAGGTATAGCACTATTCATGTCGTAGAAGATGAGAGCCACCGGTACTGTTCTTTTAAACCATCTTTCGTTGACTTTACCATGGAGAGTTCATGTGCCGGATAACGTGCCACAGTGAACTTGTGTTTGCGTGATCTCTCCTGGAGAGCTCAACACCAAAGCCCAAGTGCGCGTACTGCGAACTAAAGAGAGGACAGTGCTACTCGACCGGCGTCTGCGCAATCTGTAATCGGAACTAAATGAATAACAGCCTTGGGTGTAGGCTACTCGTTTTTGCAGTCACAGCTTAAACCAGAGTAACGAACTCAGGGTTCACCGGCTAAATATGCCGGTCTAAATCAGTCTAAGTGCAACGTACTTGAGGAATAAATTTAGTTTACGTCTACCAAACATCATGAATTACCGGATAGAAGCTTTTACTTAGTAGCTTTACACAGAATGTGAAGTCTCGTTCATAATTAACTCGTAACCGGAAACACCTGGATGAGTGACTACGTAGGTTACGAATGTCAACTTTCGCCAAGGTTATTTGCATTGTGCCGTTCCTTAGTTCTACGACTAGAGCCAACCGATTGTGGCTGCAACTGGCTGATGCTTTTTGTGGTTGTTTGATGTCTGTCCATAGCGAGCGTGAGAAGCCAGATCGTTTGGACTGTTACGTCTAATCGATAACGTGATGGAGAGACAAACACAATCGTGAATCAACATGGAACGGCACGGCTGGGCCAGGCGGAATAAGTGTGCGTGCGTGTGTGTGTGTGATCAGTTCCACGTGTGTACGTGAGATATCCAAACTAAGTTCGCAAGTAGTTGAGCGAATGAGGGTCGAGTGATCAGCGCATATCCGATGCAGTGGTGTGGGAAGGCAGCGATCAGTGGTCTGCTCGACCCTGTATTCAAACTTTCAGTCCGGCCGATTAAACTCAATTACCAACTGCACTGATATGGACGAGAGACTAAACTGAATTTCCTGTTTACGAAGAAGGACGATGTTGGTTGTGGTAGGCCTAGTAGTTTTCAGGAGCCTTATGAGTGGTGTGCTCTACAGAATTTACTCTTTACTGGTTTATTTTATTGAGTTTGCTAGCACCTGAAGGAAAGGCCTAATTTTTGTTAGGTAGGTGTAGTCCCCGAGTTTCCGTCAACCTTAGGATCTACCTGATGAGCCCCAAGAAGGGCGAAACTGGTCGTGGGCTGTCGAAGAGTTTTCAGCAACCTTGTGAGTAGTTTCCTTTATGAAAATATACTGCGATATCTCGAATATCGTGCCAACTGAAACATGAGGCGGCCTGTGTGCAGCACTGTCAGTTGTAGAATATCGCAAACGAGAGGTTCAGTCGAGTCTCTCGTGAAAATCAACATCGATTCTGCCTTTCACTATATTTTCTTGCTAGACAGACCGACATTAATCAGCCTTTCATTCTCCATTTAATCGTAGGTGAAAAACTTCTACCAAACTATGAGGTAGTCGGTTGTAAATTAAAGAAATGTCACTACATTGCCACCGACTTCGTGTAGGATAGGGATATGTACATTTATTTCGGTGACTCCCCGAATTCTTGACATCACGAATCCCCTCTGTGATGTCCAGATGGCCTGTAACGTCATCATATTTGATACTGAAAATATGTATTCAGTTAGGTAATTCAGACGGAACACACTCCGTCAGTAGAGGAGATAATACAGGGAGCATTCAAATCGTTCTTTATTTGGTGATCGGAGGTTTAGAATCAAACAGGACTATTGAAGCGTACTTTCCAGAAACTATAGAGTTCAGGAGACATCCGTGACCATGAAGTGTGTTTGGTGTTCCGCGTTTTTTTTTTAAATAGTTGTAGAATTCGCAAACGAGAGGTTCAGTCGAGTCTCTCGTGAAAATCAACATCGATTCTGCCTTTCACTATATTTTCTTGCTAGACAGACCGACATTAATCAGCCTTTCATTCTCCATTTAATCGTAGGTGAAAAACTTCTACCAAACTATGAGGTAGTCGGTTGTAAATTAAAGAAATGTCACTACATTGCCACCGACTTCGTGTAGGATAGGGATATGTACATTTATTTCGGTGACTCCCCGAATTCTTGACATCACGAATCCCCTCTGTGATGTCCAGATGGCCTGTAACGTCATCATATTTGATACTGAAAATATGTATTCAGTTAGGTAATTCAGACGGAACACACTCCGTCAGTAGAGGAGATAATACAGGGAGCATTCAAATCGTTCTTTATTTGGTGATCGGAGGTTTAGAATCAAACAGGACTATTGAAGCGTACTTTCCAGAAACTATAGAGTTCAGGAGACATCCGTGACCATGAAGTGTGTTTGGTGTTCCGCGTTTTTTTTTTAAATAACATCCAAACTACTGGTCAAAGTCCAAATTCGTCAATAGGCATATCCACGTATGAACGATTTTTAACTGAGCACTTGAGATTTCATCGCAGCATTACTCTATCCTTTTTAAACAGTGCCACAGCTGTCGATGGCGTCGGAAATCTCTCGATTGCTTCATCACGATTCGTTGAGATGCATTCCACTGAACGGCAAAAGTGTTGTGGAGAACTCATTTTTAAAATCATACCAAAGATGTAACAGAAACTGGAGAAATGTGATCTGTGCACAGCAGGATACTGACGACCTTGTACCCTGCTCGGTTCATTTTGAGTGAGTAAAACTATGTCCACCCTGCCGTTATGGTGGTCAGCTTACTAGTCGGCATCGTGAGTAAGCAAATCCGAAATTCCCCATAAGTTTCATATTTTCAGCTTACGGGTAGAATTCACAGGAACTTATGGCGATTTTTTGTTCAGCTGTAGCAACCTTTCGCTGCCTAGCTGCCGTGGTGCACGAAGGAGGCCCGAGGGCCGGGATACTGCCAGGTTGCCCAAGCGTAGACAGGGGAAGTCAAGAGGCAGAGGTCGGGTTCGAACCACGGAACTTCCGGTCAGCAAATTCGCGCTCTAACCACTTGAGCCATCTCGTCGCCCCCCCCCCACGGGAACATTTGAGATCTACTCATGTCAGATTGACTCAGTCAAAGAGCTTTTGAAAGCAAATAGCTATTCGAACGAAATAGACTGATTTTGGAAGCAATATAAATGTTTGTCAGAGAATATTTTTCTCGAAATACTGGATAAAACCTAGGCTGGAGCCTAAAAATGATTTTTTTGGCATGTCTGAGATGTTGAAAAAAGTATCACTCTCGTATTTTCTGGTGCAATAACCCTGCACTCTCTAAATCACTCGGCTCCTGGTAAGAAGGGGTTGGGTAAGAAAGCATCCCTTACCCGACGAAATTCGGTATGGACATTTTAACTTGAAGCAAACACACGCATCATCTGGTTACCTAGAGACTAAAATTTGCCTGGGTGAAAATTCTAAAATTATTCTGATAAACCGAGTGCCGATAAAACTGCAAGATGGATTTGCCCCAATAAAACCAGTCGATAGCTGATTGTATAGCAGAGAGTGAGTACGGATGTCAACGTTAGGTTGCGATGATCACTTTCATCCTAGAGATATTCAAACAAAAAATTTCGGCAGATGTAATTTTCGCAGAACTAACAAACCATACCCAACTTGCAGCTATACTTTTTCTCTTTACTCTTTTCCGTTCTCTTCTGTGGCACTTGGGGTTGGGTTAAGGTCATGTGTAAAAAGAATTTGATAAAGTGTATCATTGTCTACTTGTGGACAATGCAATTTTCTGACGATAACATGCAGTCAGTGAGCAGAAAGGATACTCAGAGTACTGTGAACAACATCAACATTATACCTATTCCGATCTCACACGCAGCTTCCTGAGGACTTCTTCGTCATGACTACTTCCACTCAATGATCGTGGTGCACTACCAGTTGAAGAACAATGTGCTTAACCGAGTGTGGTGCAGCAGATAGATATCAGTGAAGCCCCAGCTAGAGATATACTCGTGCTAGTTGAATTTCCGCTTTGGTTTTACCCTGTGGTCTTTGTGCGTTTTCCTCTTCTTTTGGAAGGTTCGACTCACTCTGAGGGTGACTAACTGGCTACCCATGGTAACGTCATAAACTTTGTTACAGGGTCGAAGAGGGGCAGCCTCGCGCCTCTCTGTGACAGACAGCGAAATGAGGAAGCTTTTTACAACGCCTGGAATGTGTTTTAATTCGCACCCAGGATTTGACCCGAACTCTGTACGATTCTTCATTGCAATGGTTTTCACCAGTGTTCGAACGGAACTGATCGAGCGATTCGACAGTTAACAGCGAAAAGTGGAAAAATATCTCACAAATGGGAGTAGACAGATCCAGTGGTTCGTGAACTAAGCATTGATTCATTTCATCGGACTCAAGATATTTCTTGGTCAGGAAAAATGGACCCTTGTCACTAATCTGCTCCTTGTTACTAATCGTTGCTCCACAAGTGAAGTTCATGTGTATATTTTGATCCGATTAATGCTGCCGGTTGACCGACTGACAGCCACGAAATATCACAGGGTTTTGGATGCAATACATCGTGTAGCGTATAGTATCTGGTAGAAAGTTTCAATGGGTCTGACAGCGAAATCACTCTCGGCTGACCCCTCTAGCTATCCCTTCACCCACATATTTGACTCTTCAGCCCACAGTCGCTCACTAGATCACGAGACTCCTCTTTTTTACACTCACAAATCACGCCATACAATTGTGACTCATCTGACATTGACTGTCGGTGCCGTCAAGTAAGCGTAGCAACAAGTCATGCGCTGACACCCACGTACACGCAAACATGCCTACATATAGGAAAACCGAGCACAGTCAGCACACAGACATGCGCGCGCGCAAGGAGCAGGACGACAACCACTCTCCACAATCCCACGGAGTTATGGAACACGTGTAGCAGCTATACTGCGGAGAAAACACGTTCCGGCCGTCAGGACTTTCACCAAGAGACTCTCACAAACGATAAGTTCCTCGTTTGACTTGCTTCACATTTCACATTGCATTTAATTTAATGCGTGTTGCAACTCACTACTGTCAACCATAGTAAAAACTTTTATTAGTGCATATAATCTGTGCACTATTACCCTCATGTGCGGCGCCCGCCAACACCGTGGCCAGGCCCATGTGGCTTACTCAGATGTGTCACCCATCACATGCTGGTGAAACCAATCCCCACAAACGCCTCCTCTGATCTACGGTCGATTTCATGTGCGAACGATTGATCGTAAGATGTACGGCAAATGATTTGGATTACCCATAAGTGGCTTTAGTGGATTGTGTCATTTGTTGACGCACAAGCAGCAGGTGAAGAACACAATAAACTTATAGGTATAGACATAACATAGCACTCATAAGTTGGTTGAGGCCCATCAGGTAGGCACAGACCCCGAGTTGTTTGGACAAATCCCGACAAGTACTCTCATTTGCACACGAATTTGGTTTTGACAGAAGAGATTCAGTTTGATCTCGTTGAGTCTTCTGTGAAAACCAAACCGGTATGCAGACGATCGTATTTGTCGGGTGTCGTGCAATTTAGGTTCAAGTTGAACATAAG